CGATACTGCACCGCTTGAGAAGGTAGCACACCATGCGATGCATGCTGCCATCGCCCACTCATCCTGCCTGTCTGTCTGTCTGTCTGTCTAGATGCATGCACTCCTATCTCGATCCACTGCCCATGAGCGAGGCCATCAATGCACGGATGATCCTGCTCGCGAATGTGTTCCGCGCCTACTACGGCGTCGCCACTCGGCTGCATCTGCTGCTGGCCGCGATGAAAGGCAAGGCAGGCCATGCCATCTGTGCGCGTATGTACTCGGCGGCCATGATCATGCCTGCCATGCTGATGACATCTCTGCTGCTGCTGCTGCCATTGTATGCATGCATGCATGGACAGGTGTCGTCATGCCACTGATCCATGGCTGCACTCAGTTCATGCGCACACGCCACCACACCATCCATGTATGCGAGATGAATGGCAAGTATCCTCCAATGCTGCAGTGCATCATCATCATCATCATCATCTAACATGTTCATGCTCCTTCCTATCAACACTAGGCTCGTCGCGTATGCATTGCTCGTGGTGCTGCAGGCGAGACCGACAAACTACGTGCCACTGATTCGTTTATTGCAAGCACATGTGCACCATCCACGCCACACACGCACACGCCACCGACTCACTAGGCTGGCGCGCACACTCGCCATGGAACTGGCCGCCCACTAGCCTGCCTGCCTGCCTGCCACACGAGGAGGAGGACATCGGCCAGCTGCTTGCTTCTATGGCTTCCCTCGCGTGCTCGTCCGCAGTGTGCGATCGAGATGCTTCTCGAGACTATCGGCACACTGGGAATAAACATGCTTGCTCCATTGTAGCATCGGCAGTTGTCGAGTGGCACCGTGCATCCGACTCGAACGAGGCCACCGTCGTGCAGTCGCCTGCCTCGAGCTTCCTGCCAGCTGTCAAGAATGCATAGGCCGCATGCCAGTCGTAGGATAGGCGGGAATGGCCATGGCCACTGGATCGACCTGTGCACATGTGTGTGCATGCATGCACGCACTGGATAGAGCGGCAATCCGATGCGCGCCACTCGATGGCTGGCGATGACTGGCGATGGCCATGCTGCGGCAAGGCATAGGCGGGAAGGTCGGCTGTTGCTGTGTGCAGGCGCATATGGCCAAGCACACGATGTGGCCGTCATGCCAATGCCCGCCACTTGCACTCGCGCACCTGTCCATGCGCACCATAGTGGGAGCGGGTAAGTGCCGCCTTGCGAAGACGTCGCTGTGCTCGCTGCCATGCTCGGGCATGCTCCCGCTTCCCTCGTCGTCCAGCTTGTTCGAGGCTGTGCTGCACGGGAACTGCGCGCGGATACAGGGAGCCAGCGTGGAAGCTAGTGCTCGGGCTGCTCGGAGCAGCGAGAAGCGAGGAGGGGGCGGGGAGAGGGAAGGCGAGCAGCATGGCTGGATGCGCCCTCGTCGATTGTTGCTGCCGTCGATGGATATCGCGCCTCGAGATGGCGACACTGCCTGGCTGGCCTGTTGATGCATCGTGCCACAGGCTGCCCGCCCTCCTTGCTGCACAGCATCGCATCCTGCACCACATGACGATGCGTGATGCAGGCAATAAACACATCCCATGGCAGTCAGTGATGTGCGCACAGACCTGTATGTCGATGCGGCTGTCTGACCATGGACGATGGCCTCCATGCACGCACTGTGTGGCACGCATCATTGACAAACTGGCGATGGTCTATGCCACATGGCATCGAGCATGCCTCGTCAATGCAGCACATGTCTGTGTGTGCATGCATCGCATCGACACACTGGGCAATGGCAGCTGGAAGGCAGGGAAGCATGATCGGAAGAGAGGAAGCAGCAAGCATGCATGTCATGCAGTGCTTGTGCAAAGGATGCTGCTGCGGCAATGGACATGAGCATCGGCCATTGTGCGGCATATCAGATGAGACAGTCATTGGCAGAGAGAGAGAGAGAGAGAGAGAGAGAGAGAGAGAGAGCAGGCCAGGAAGGAGCAGCCGACGCATAGTGACAAGCACAGATAAGAAGCAGAAGCAGAAGCAGCAGTATTCCGATGATGATGGCTGTAGTAGGCATCGTTCCATAATCGACAAGCAATGCAGCAAGAGTAGAGTATGGTCAACATCATCGCACATGCATGCATGTTTATTCATATGGTGTATATGGTCAAAGATGGACGGGGCACCACATACAGCATTGCATTCATGTAATGAATGATAGATAAGGAATGACAATGGACCACGATATCATTGTCGCGGATGTTTATTCTAGCGTCTGTTGGTGGCATGGAGCGTTAAATGGTCGCGGTCCGCGTTGGCTTCTGAGCTTTTCTTTTCGCGCGTTCGCTGCGCTTCAATTCCTGCTTCACGCATTTGTCCTGGCATTTCTCCCATTCTTTAAGAGCGGCTCTATCGTGAATGGAATCCATGGTAGGCAGTTTGCATTTCCTGGCGCATTCTCCGAGAGTCTCGTTGGGGAGCGACTTAGGCTTAAGAAAACCAAACATAGGCTGGGCTTCAGCGATGGCAAGGTTAGCCACAGCAGCGACGGCGGCAATAGCAATGGCAGCAGAGATCTTCATGATGACAATGTATTGGCGGAAGGAGTAGTCGTAGCAATCGTAACGGTAAATAGTGTTGAATAGAACGGAAGAGAGCGTAGAAAGAAAAGACGAGTTGGTGCACACTAGCGCGCGCTGATTGCCAATATTTTTCTGCTTGCCATATACAGTATAATCACGTGACTATATTCATTATGGCCTCTACCTTATATAGAATCGAAGCGTCAAGTTCGACGTGCTTCCGTGGCCCAGTGGCAAGGCGTCTGCCTAGTAAGCAGAAGATCGGCGGTTCAATTCCGTCCGGAAGCATGCTTTTTGCCTTTCTATGCATGTAGAATAGCTGCGTAGACCGATGGAGGCGCGCGTTCGTTTTGTTTTGCTGCTGCTTATACGGTGGGTGGTCAATCTAGCGGCGATTAGTATGGATCATCATTCTGTGTGTGTGCTGAGATTATCTTTTGTTATTGATGTCCATCACACACACGCACGCATCCGCGCACGTCTTCAAGCGACTTTTGTTCTTTTGCAAGCATCGCGCTTTATTGCCGCCCTCCTACGATACATATACATACCACCACCGTGGACTATTTGTGCTCCCGTGCCTCCTTGTAGCTGTAGTTGTTATACGTGCTGTTCATCTTCCTCGCTCTCTCTCGTCATAGAACAGTATGGCGGAACCGGGATCGCCGCTGCAATCCGATACGGGCCGCTGGGTGCGCAAGGAATCGTTCGGTGATCGCGTCCGTTCCGCGCCCTTCGACTGGTTCATGCGCATCCAGGAGGACTGGGAGACGCTCGACTGGGACTCGCTGCAGGAGACGCTAAGGTAGCTGACGCTGTGGACGGCGCTTCTGGCCATACCTACATACATACACGTCCGTGGTTGTTTGTTTGTTTGTCTGTTTAGTTGGCCCACCGTCATCCTGCTCAATGGCACCTTCCTCTTCCTGCGCCTGAGCCACTCGCTCGAGTCGCCCGAGCTCATTCGATTCGAGTATGGACGCGCCGTGCCAAGTGGCTGGCTCGATGCCTCGACCATCTTCTGGGTAGCTATCGCCGGACGCACCATCGCCACGGGCTGCTCCACTAACCGCGCGCATGTCTGCCGTCCAGATCAACCTGCTCGAGGTGGCGCTCTTTCTATTGAGCATTAGCAACACGATCTACTTGTTCACGCGCAGCCGGCAGTACCAGCTGTTCGATCGGTCCGCCGAGGTATGCCATCGCAGTGGATGGTGGGAGCGGCGATGATATGCACGCCATGCTAACCAGCTGCGTTGGCGATGACCGTGCCGGCATGACCAGACGGCCGCGCGCAATCCCCACGTGCGCAACACGCTCGCCTACACGAAGCCGGCCGGCATATGGCGACGGCTGCTTCGATTCATGATGCAAGTGCCCGCCATGTGTGTGCAGGAAGCGGCCCAGTGGCTGACACTGCCCATCGATGCATGCATGCACGCATGCTTCTTAGGCGTCCCGTATGGAGGATGATCGGATACACGCCGCAGTACGAGCGAAAGATGCACATACTCTACATGTGGGATCCGCCCCTCTTCTCGCTCAATCTCTTCTGGTATGCTTGTGTGCTTGCATGTGCATGATAGCTAGCATGGCCCTAATCACCCGTGTGTAGTTGGTGGTCGCCGCCACAGCTTGCCGTCTACTTTGGACTGAACGCCGACAACTGGCCCTTCTTCTTCCCGGTGGCGCTGGCCGTATCCGTCCAAGTAGGTGTGCTGCTTCGATGGCACGATGCGCCGGCCTATTCATCCTGCATGCATGCATGCATGCACACATAGACGTACTATCTGTGCAAGACCTATGTCCAGCACGTCAAGGACAAGCAGCTTTTATTCGGACAGGTCTACAGCGAGTACAACACAAAGTTCGTCAATAAGAGCATCAGCATGATGGCCCGCGACCAGAGCACGCTCTCGGAGTGGGGCGACACGCGCGCCGTCAACATGTCGCCTCCTGTCTTCGACTCGCCGATGATCAAGTCGCTCTCGTTTAGCGCGGGCAACAGCACGGCGAGACAGCGCCGCCAGCCGACGATGGCGCGCAGGACGCCCGCCCTACCGGCGACACCCGGCACGCACGGCGGCATGATGGGCCGGCATCGTTCGCTCTCGGAGCACCAGATGTCGCCGACACCGGCCGCAGCACGTAGAAGGTAGGCAGCCGATATGGGCGATGCAGCCGTGTGGCGACATCTGACGGGTGTGCATAGCAGTCGACGTCCCATGGATCTATCGGAGGTGGAGGAGCAGCAGGACAGCGAGGAGGATGTGCCTACCGGTAAGTGTGGAGCGAGATAGGCATGTGCGCGTGCGCGTGTGTCTATGGCAGGCGATGGCTGATCGTGCATATACACGGCTAGAGAACGAGCCGGCGCCCAAGGAGGAGGCAAGAAGCACCGCAGCACGACCGCCCAGGCGAACGCGACAGAACCGCGCGGCGTAGATCGATGTCGGGTGCGGTGAAGCGGCCCTCGTCGTCGTCGTCGTTGTTGCCAGTAGATAAAACAAAGTGAACAAGCCAGCGCGTCATGTGCATAGCATCATCCATGTTCTCGTCGACGATTCGATCGACTACACATCATTTGGTGTGTGTGGCGTCACTCTCTTTATTATGTGTGTATGTGTGTGTGTGTGTGCGCATGTCTCTACGTGGTGACTGTGGGCTTCCCAATCCACCATCCTCATTCCTCTTTCTTGGCACTGCTTGTTACTGCTTCCTTGTCATCATGTCTATTAACCAGGTCGCACTAAGCACCGACGGAAGTGCACCGGTGCTCCTGCCCAACGAGAAGGTGTTCTTTGGAAGGCAGGGCGTCCGTCTCGAGCTAACCTACGGCAAGTATGTTCTATGTGCACACTATGACCACGAATGCTCCTTATTGACACACTGCTCCTCCTCGCTGCTACCAGTGGATTCCCCGGTAGTAGGCAAGCACCCATACATACATACATATACATGTGGACGCTCGTTCGACTAATTACCTTCTACTTGTAGTGGCTGCTATACGGCTGCCGCCGGCCATATCTACCTGACGAACCAGCGCATTATCTACCTGCCCACACCGAGCCTCGTGGGCTTCCAGTCGCTCGCCATGCCTCTCCTCCACATCAATCAAGGCAAGCTGACACAGCCCTGGTTCAATGCCAACTACTTTTCGTGTCTCGTGGAACCGGTAAGCAGCGCCTGCCATTGGACGATGCTGATGCTGATGCTGATGTTGATCGTGGTGGCATGTTTGTTTAGGTGTATCATGGTGGATTGCCCGCGCCTTCACAGGTCAAGCTCTACTTTAACGAGGGCGGTAAGCAATGAGGATGGCAGCAGCATTGTCGTTATGTGGTAGCTGACATGCTAACTGCTGGCATAGGCGCCTTTGAATTCTCAACGATGTACCGCCAACTACGTGAACGCATACAAGGTAATAGATGCATATGGTGATGATGGTACAATGCTCCAACTCGATGTGTGTGTGTGCGTTCATGCTAGAACTGGGCGAATCACCCGATACACTCGAGCCATTGCCGGCCTACACACCACGCGCCGATGGCATCTCCTCAATCGCGGCAATGAACAGTGCGGTGCCTGTGGCCGGGACAAGTGCCGCATCCACCTCGGCCACACCGCACGATGCACCGCCCGATTACGATACAGTCACACAAGGGGGATACAACAATGCAGCAACCATGACCACGCCATCCACGACTGTTTAATAAACATGTGTCTACGCCATTGATTATTGGTACAACGCTAATGTATGTATGTATGCAGGCATGCCATAGAAGCTATTCACCATCATACGGATGATGCTGGTGATGATGATGGTGGTGGTGATGGTGATGCTGGCGGTGGGGATGCTGTTGCTGTGGTGCATAGATCGACTGCTGTGTGGTGGTGGTGGCTGCTGGTGGTGGTGGTGGCGATCCCATGGCATAGCCTAGGAAGTATGGATTCTGGCTGGTTGTCGAGGCCGATGCTAGTGGCGATGCTTCCATGCGCCGTCCATGCCATTCATGATGTGAACGATGTGGTGGTGGTCGTGGCATATCCATCGATGTGCCGGTGAATGGATACGATGGCGGGTAGGCAGAGGATGGCGCCGATGCCGGCTGGCTCCACGGCGTGTGCCACGGTGTGGACATCGTGTCGACGACGGCCGACGACGATAGTGGACCGGCAGCATTCGGCGGCGTGGCCCGATCGTCGAGTATGTTCCGGCGTGTGGGCAGTGTCGAGCTTAGCAGCGTGGTTGTGATCGTGCCGTGTGTCGTCGACTGTGGCGTCATCGTGATGATTGCGGGCGGTGCATGTCGATGCTGGCCGAGTAGCCGTGGCTCCATGACGGGCGATGTATTGGGCGAGTACCATTGCACGAGGCCTGTGTCCGAGGCAGGCGACATGGGCGGTGGCTGTGATGTGACTACGGTTGCTGCTGCCGCCGCAGTTGTGCGTGGTGTGCTGCTCGATATCTCGTCGGCCAGCGATGCCGTTTGCTTCCGTGCGGTTTGTATACGACTGTCGAGGCTGTTGAGCTGGCGTAGCAGTGCCGATGCCGATGTTGTCGTCGTTGCGGTCATTGTGCTGGTGGTGGGCGATGTTGCTGTGGCATCGGTGGCGATGGTCGATGGGTTGCTGGATGCATGGTGTGTGATGTGGCGCCTTCCTACTCTGCCTAATGCCATGCTCCCTTCTGCATCACTATGCTGATCATCATCATCATCATCATCATCATCACCATGCCTGTGGTTGTGGTTCGATGAGGATGATGCTTCTGTAGG